TTTAACAACAGTATTGACAGGTTACAATGGCGGGGTTATTGTACTTTCTATCGCACTTAAAGTTCTTTGCTTGAAGCCCCCTCATATAGTTCAATTTTAACAATGTATTTTCTAAATTCATTCATAAGGGGGATATATAATTAATGTTGTCTGTAATTTATGGTCACCTGATTTGAGGTCCTTGGAAGGTATGCACATATGTTTGTGTTTGTTGTTTCACTGGATATGTTATTTCCTTCAGTACCAGGCAGGTGTTTTCTGGCTGTAAACTCCAAAGAAAGTCTGGCTGTTCCACCACAACTCTGGACTTTTGTCTTGTTTCAGAGTTTCGCGTGCACATCCATTTTACAGATGTGGCTTATTTGTATGCAGACTGCCAGTGAACTGTCTCAGGCACATGCAATCCAACTTTGAAAGAATCTTCCCTAATTAATCATCTTTTTATGACACGCTTTGTTAGGGGCAGCGTGTGGAATGCACATGGAGAGGGCCGGTGTTTTAACTTATAACTTATCCTAATCTAACCATGGGATACCTAAAGTGAAACATGCCTGAGTCTGAAAGGGTTATAAAAAAAAAACACTTGAGAACGAATTGACAATATAGGTATCAACATTGTATTACTAGTGCCAGATGGGCAAACAACCATAATTTTCTGGGGTTTACAGCTGGTGAACGTTAAGAAGAAGAAGAAGAAGATTACACATACTTGATGAGAGATCACAACAATTATGTCTAAATATTCATAAGGGGAAGACAAAAACAAAAGTATATACTAAAGAATTAACAAGTGAGTAAGTGATCTTCAACCCTACCAGGAAATCCACCAAACAAACACCCGGTGACACAAAGTGCCACCATGTCAATGAGGAACACCCAGAGAGAAGTCCCAGCTTTAGGTTATATTAAGGCCTCCTGACTACAGTGGGAGTAGGGGCTTTAAAATAACAAAAAATGTTGTCCCATAATGAGACGGCAATAAATAAACTATTAACAAATACTGAATGTGTTATCAATTTTTTGTTACAGTTTACAAAGTTTGAGTTCTGACACATTGTTGCTTTGAGTGGCTTGCCCTTGGCATTCGCCCAGTGGTATGGCCTTCCCATGTATTTAACCACCATTTTTCTCCTAGGAACACCCCCTGTTGGAGTTTTCTGGCTTCATAACAATATGGAGATTACTCGAGACAACCCCCATTTCTTGATGGCCTCCCTTGGGCATGTGCACACGCTAAGTTTGCTCCATGCAACTACCAAATTTTCGGGGGAATTTGTCTGCGAGGCTTATAACGACTTTGGGGACACTGATACATTTTGCTTTGTAGAAGTCAGAGGTATATTTTCTGATTGTTTTCTTTACAAATGATCTTGTTTGTAATTAGGTTTCTTGTTCTGCAATGCTAACACACAAAGACAGGAAGCCAATATTTGGAAAGAAGCCCTTGTTAGTGGAGTTAACTGAGGTATAGTGATTAGTACTCTTGCCTACTGAATCAGTGGTTTGGACTCAGTCCCACGAACTGGCAGGTGTATTTTTATCCAGTGCAATTATGGAGTTGTCCTAGCCTAAAAATTAATTTTTGGTGGTGAGTTGGTGATGGTGAAAGGTCAGGGCCATTTGACAGCGAGTGTAAACTGTATGGAAGGGCAAATAGAACATTACAGTCTGAAAAGAATGGTGCAGTGAGGGGTGACCAAGGGATCTGATCGACACTGAAAGGTGGCTGGATACCCACAAAAGATTTTTTCCCCAAGACTCACTTCATCGCCTCTCTAGAGAGGGACAGTGTATCATATTCAGACTAAGGACTGGGCACAACAGATTTCGTCAACATATGTTCAAATTTTTCGGTGTAGGAAATACGGAGACGTGTCCCTGCAGCGTGGCACCCGAAAATGCTGAGCATGTGCTCCAACACTGTCAACTGTATGCTGACAACAGAGATGCAATCTGGCCTGTTCCAACCACACTGAAGACAAAACTTTATGGTACACGAGAGGATATGGACTGCACGATAGCTTTCATAAAGGCTACAGGCCTCCTGATATGAGTTTTCTGACAGAAGGATCGAAAAATAAGAAGAAGAGGAAAAACAAGGCAGAAATATAAGCAGACTACTGCTCTACTGTCAGAACTAGAACTCTGCACTGGGTGCTGAAGATGGGGACATGGCACTTACCTAAAATGTCCCAACTGCTATGATATCAATCTTTAACTCGGCTCAGCTCAAACTCAACTGACTCTCAGAACTTTTTGGGAGGGAAGACAGTGAGGAGAGGACCTGGCGACTCATTTGTTGACTTTAATCTGTTGAGTAGTATGATGATCAGGCCACTTAGCAAAGGCATTTGATGAATAGAAAATTGCTGTTCTAAAACATCATGTATTTTTATAATTTATCATGGTGGGACTATGAAAGGTTACATGTTTTGTTTTTATTAATATTTAAATTTGAATCTAGCTAGAATTGTTGCATAAGCTATTATATATCCGACTTTTTAATCCACTGCTTCAGATTATTTGTATTCATATTTATGTTTTACTTAATTTGCTTTCTTTTAGTCTGCAATATAAATACTTTTGTAGTGCTAGTTTACATACCGTTTTCATTCTGTTTTTCATTTATTATTCTAAAATTTTCAGAATTCTCACAGCATATGTATAATATTATTTCTAATCAATAACAGGATGCTAACCCTGCACATGCCTGTGTTTGTTTTCCATTGTGCTTGATCAATATTAAGCCAGGTTTTCTAGAGTCGTTATCATTACTTTCATCATCTTTAGTTGGGTTCCAGGGCCCCATTGTGGTAAATACAAGAAAAGATCCACCCAACAAGCATGATCTAAGAGTTGACTAATTAGGGGCAGGCACTCTTCAAAGTCGGAGTGCAACTGTTTGAGTCAAGGAACTAACAGTCTACATACAATTAAACCAGAACTGTAAAACGGATCTGCATGCAAATCTGAAGTTCTAGAACAAGACTACAATCCAGATGTGGATGAACAACCAGAACTTTCTGCCAGAGTTTACAACCAGTGAACATGAAGAAGAAGAAGAAGATGCAGAAAAAGATTACTTTCATCATCATCATTAGTGGTATAGTCAGCTATGCGCTCAGCAATACTTGAGGGTTTTACAGTCAAAATTAATCAAGAAACGACATTCCACACATGCTCTGTTCCCTGCTTCAGTAGCAAACAAAGAGTTTCTATATTGACAGTGCCAGTTGCAACCTGAATAAAAGTTTGTCTTTCTCCCTGTGGGTTGAAAATCATTCAGACCTTTGCTCCCTCTCCGGTGACTCAGTCTCCAGTTACACCTAGTTTGTTCTTTTGCACTGTCTACCCAAAGAACTCTCACCACATCTACTTCATCATAAAATAGCTTGCTGCCCAGAGGAGCAGCAGCAACCAATCTATCAGCTGGCTCGTTACCATCACACCCGAGTAACCTCAGCAAAATTTCTATAATATGCTCCTGATTGAGTCTTACAAAGTGAAGTAAACCATTCTGGGCATAAGGCACTTGTAACTATTTGAGTTAGTTATAATTACAGCATGTTTCTTGAAGCTAAATCTAGTTGATCGCAGTGGGACTCCAACTTTGTTGTTTCACTGCCTTTAGTTCTGCAAACTAATAGTGTTAATGCCGGCAGTGGTAGATGTTGTGGTGGTGGCAGTAGCAGTAGTATTCAAAGCATTAGTGGTTGCAGTAGGGTTGATGGTTGTGGTAGTATTAGGGGTTTTAATAATGGTGGTTGCATTAGTGGTAGCAGTGGTAGTAATAGTTGCAGTAGTAGTAATGGTAATGGTAGTAGTAGCCATGACTAGTAGTAGGTGGTTACATTAGTGGTGGTAGTTTTAGTAGTAGTAATATTTGTAGTATTAGTCATAGTAGTAATAGTTGTAGTAGTAGTGGTGACTGTACTAATTAGTAGTAATAGTGGTATCAGTAGTTGTGGTGGTTGTAGTAGTGATGATGGTGGTAGCAGTAGTAATGGTGGTGCTAGTAGTATCAGCAGTAGATTATCAGTAATTGTAGTATAGGTAGCAGCAATAGCTGTAAAAGTGGTAGCAGAAGCAATAGTACTTACTAGTAATAATAAAGCAGTTTTAGTAGCAGCTTAAGCCTGCCCGTTTTGACATTTCCAGAGAAGTCTCTGACAGCCATTTTATGACCCTGGGTTGTTTTGGCCATTACCAGTAAAACAATAACCCTGGTGATAGTAAATAAATGTAATAACTGCCATGTCACCCACATCCCTTACTGGCTCACGGGTAGATGACTTAGGCGCCCGTTGGGACAGTATTTAGGTCTGTCTCCTTGGGTCCAACACTGCAGGAGTCCTTTTCAGGGCATTTGCTGGTGTATAATTCTATGCCATTTTATATGGTGTACATAACCTGGTCCCAGTTATAAACTAAAGCTCCCCCTTCGGGGATGTTGGTTGCCCTTTTCACGCTTTAGGCACATCGGGCATATGGGAAGAGCACCCATATTTTTACAAACCAATTGGCACTAGGTGGGTAATGTCGTCAGCATTACTCAGACTGTCTCTACTTTTCCACGACATACATCCTGGTACCCACTTTAACCTGAGTGAATCAACTCCATATCTTCAGCTTATAGTCAATGTAGTGAAATAAAATACAGATGTTATTCTGGGCCAAAATGCCACTGTCCACCATCTTTTGTCTTGGTTTCCCTATGCCTCTTTTTCCCTTAAATTTTTCTGTTGTCATGATTAATCAGTCATGGATAAAACAATAACCCATCTGCCTATACTTTGTGTGTACAATATGTGGCGAATGTTTTGTTGTACAGCTAGTTAAAAGATCTGTTTAGAACAAAGCAACCTATATTTCCTTTCAGTATGATCATAATTTAATAAATACAGTCTCTATCATAACGATCATAATTCCAAATTTTATATTTTACTTCACAGTGATCATATTTTATATATATATATTTTTTTAACTGATGCTGATTGTAGGAGCAGAACATCTGGATCCCCCAGGTTTTGTCATTTGTCCTTCAGCTGTTACTGGAAAGGAGGGTGAGACAGTAACTTTCACATGTCAGGTCAAGGGTCAACCTGCGCCTACAGTTTTGTGGGAGAGAGGAGGTGTTGCCATAGCTACCAGTCAAAAGTACAAGGTGTGGCAGGTTTAGATTTTTTATTTAAGAGAAAAATTGATTTTTTTTCTTTCTCATGTCTTAATCCTTTCAATCCAGAATGCCTTGATCTCCCACCCCCCCCCCCCCCCACTCCCCCCTTCAAGTATCTATGAAAAAATCTCCTTGGCTCCTAGGTCGCCACCCAGCCTTAAATGGATACGAGGTAAAAGTCCTGAGAAGTAAAGGCAGCCAGCATGATGCTGACCACATCACCTATAGAGTGCTAATTGGTCTACAAAATACATGTCTAGCGCTGTCTGCCCAGTACGCCGGAAGACATGGACAAGGGTCATTTACTGTTTAACTTGTGTCTGATAGTATGTTGTCACACACATCATTTAAAATGAAATTTGCTTAGCTCATTCATAATCAAGCAATTTATCATGTATTTTGTGTTTTTTACACTGTCTGCAGATCTATGTCTGTGCAGCTACACAGGGTCACAACATTTTGAAGGCAGCAAAATATAGCTACCATAAAATGACTGACTAAAATTGATTTCTGTGATTTTTTTTTTTAGTCATCATCATCATCATCAGTTTCCACTTCTGGACTAAAATTTGTGATTTCTGTGATTTGTTTTATTAGTCATCATCATCGTCATCGATTTCCACTTGTGGACTAAAATTTGTGATTTTTGTGATTTTGTTTTATTAGTCATCAGCATCATCAGTTTCCACTTGTGGACTAAAATTTGTGATTTCTGTGATTTGCTTTATTAGTCATCATCATCGTCATCGATTTCCACTTGTGGACTAAAATTTGTGATTTCTGTGATTTTGTTTTATTAGTCATCAGCATCATCAGTTTCCACTTGTGGACTAAAATTTGTGATTTCTGTGATTTTGTTTTATTAGTCATCAGCATCATCAGTTTCCACTTGTGGACTAAAATTTGTGATTTCTGTGATTTTGTTTTATTAGTCATCAGCATCATCAGTTTCCACTTGTGGACTAAAATTTGTGATTTCTGTGATTTGTTTTATTAGTCATCATCATCGTCATCGATTTCCACTTGTGGACTAAAATTTGTGATTTCTGTGATTTTGTTTTATTAGTCATCAGCATCATCAGTTTCCACTTGTGGACTAAAATTTGTGATTTCTGTGATTTTGTTTTATTAGTCATCAGCATCATCAGTTTCCACTTCTGTTGTGGGGAGGAATAGTTTACGTTTCATTGTTTGATAGGTAGCAATGGCTATCGTCATTCTGTATCAGTGTAGAAGCTTTTTAATGTCATAAATAGATGTTTTTCTAAGGCGACCTCTTGCTTTCAATTCAGATCTTTTCATGTGTACCGCCTATGTTGGGTAGTTGTTCTGGATGCATTCTTACTAAATGACCAAACCATTTGATTTTCTGTTTCTCAGTGAATTTGCTGCATGGTGTTATTTTTTAATTAGTGTAGGCTGTTGAACTGTGCTGATTATTTTTGTGTTTACCCTGTATTGTTTTTTTTTTTAAGAATAATTTTTTCATTTGTAGCTTGCATATATGTTTTAACCGTTGTGTGTTCAGTTAAGTTAATAATTCAGTACAGTTTAATATGGAAGTAAATAATTCCTTATTGTTGTTAGTTTGTAAATGAAAGCAATGCCAAAGGTTAGCTATGAATAAATGACTGCACATCAGAACTGTTGATTTAGTTTTTTATTTTCATGACATACCCGGTTTCAAATGTTAATTCACACTGCTCCAATTGTTTAACTCTTCTTCTGTAAAGTAATATAATTTAAAGTCGCCAGATTAATGGTGTTTGTGGCACTGAGGCCAAAGGGCTTCGATGCTCATGACACTGAGCCAAATGAGCTATGCTCAAGTGCTTCTGGTTCAGAAAAAAAACTTTTATTTCAAGTCATTCTGTCTCCAAACATTTGTTACATAAATAGAACTTCTAGGAGAGGACAGAATTATATATTTTTTGAAATGAAAGACACAAAACTTACATATTTAAATCTTTATGCTCCAACTTATATATTATGCAAATCTGTATGCTCTCTCTTTATATGTGTGTGTTTATATATATATATATATATATATATATATATATATATATATATATATATATATATATATATACATACAAACACACACACACACACATGCACACAAACACACCCATATCCCCTTTCCCCCTCCCCCAATATATATGTTCAAAGGGAAATCTGAGCACCAGTGGATGTGCCCAGAGTGCGGTGAAGATAATGCAACTCATAACTCACCCATGAACACTCTTAACTTATTTTTTAATAAAGAAATTTGTGTCCACAGATAACAAAAATTCAGGAACAACACACTTTGACCATCTATGATGTGACCCAGGCAGATGCTGGGGAATACGTCTGTCGGTTACTTGGTTGTGGGAGTGAATTATCGCACACATGTAGTTTATCCATTACTTCTGACTTGCATCCAGGATATATCCAGCCTGCAGAAACTGTGAAAACAAGGTTAGTGGTGAGGGCAACAGGGACATTGATGGTTGATGTGGTGGTTGGTTGTGTTATTTAATTTTTTTATGATTTAAAAAAAAAATTTATTTTAAGGAAATGGAAGTAATGTTTACAGACAAAACTTCTTGTTGCCCAATATTAGCAGTCAAGGATAAAGATATAGATCATGTTCGAAACTTATTTGCAATAAATAGTAATCGAGAATGTTTAACAGAAGAAGTTGGCCATAACAGTGCAAAGAGCAGACATTCTAAAAAAGGTAAACATTGAGAAAAGTTAGCATCTTGACTCAGAGACTGAAATACTTTAGACATATCAAACATCACAATGGCGTGGAAGGGTGTGGTACTGGGTAGGAGAGACAGTTGCTGACCTGAATAAAGGTTCGCACAGGGCAGAAGAAATGAAGTGCATGAGGTGGGAGAGCTGGTGAAGGATCAGTTATCTTTCAGGCAGGCAGGGATGGGAGCAGGAGACAAGAGGTACTTTGGGCATAAAAGTGTTTGAGGCAGGAGAGACTGAGTTTTTTTTTAAAAATCAGGTGGGAGGAACTTTTTTATTTTAACTCTTTCAGGCCCATGAATTTTGACAGACTTGGCTCACATTAATTTCCCTTTACAAAAATGGCAGAAGGGGTGGTGTACAAGAAAGGCAATAGAGAATGTAATATACTTCTAATCCCCATAAAAGTATATTTTTTTTAAAGAGAAATAAATGTTCATTTTGAATCTGATGATAAGTGTATGTTTTAATAGCTAGTAGGAAAGAATAATTCAGCAGGTTTTAATTTCGCAACAGCATTTTACAAACAAATTCTTCACTTACCATGGTTTTGCAGCCACAAGATTAGTGAATATCTAAATTTGAGAACAAAACTTCAAAGTTGTTCAATTTCCTAAAAGATTCCAAAGTTATGATGATGAGTTTCTGGTTTAGTTTAGCATTCAGGGGCTTTTAGTTCTCACATAGTGCTGAGCAAAATTTCAGAGAAAAAATGGCAGAAAAATGGGCCATTACACGCACACTATTTACTATTTACTTTGTACAGTTATTTGCAGACTGTAGCTGCAATGATTTCAATGTAGCTTAGCCATAGTATAGTACTGTTTTTTTGTTTGGAGCACTTTCCTTCTCTTACACCAAAAATACTGTAGCAGTGGGAAATTGTCTGTGTAAACTCATTAGAATCTCTAGATTCCCAACAGCTGATCGCTCAGCTTCGCTGGTGAAAATTCACCGTCCGAATCACTTTCCAAACAATCTAAATCTGCATTATGATTATCAGAATTAAAAACATCTGACTTAAACAATTTCAGAGCTTCGGCCACAGAAAGACGCATTCTATGACCTGTACTTATGGTTGGAATATTGGTATTCATGGCACTCGAAAAACTTAGAAAATGCTCTGATGAAAAAAATGTAGCTATGAATCTGATCTATCTTTGCACCTGTGGCTTGGGATATGGATGTTGCTAAAAGGAAATCATTTAGAGTGACTTTCCCTGAATACTTTAATCGTAGTTCCAAACATTAGAAACAAGTACGGAGCCGTGTGCGAAGCAATATGTACGGGACGCATGATCGATGATGACAGCGTTGTTTTGGCAAAACGGAACTTTTCAATCAATGCTCACACTGTTGCTCGGGCCTTAAAGAGTTAAGGCCCTGCTAGATTTAGATAATGAATAGTGATATATAATTGCTAGATGTGGTATTCAGTTATTAGTTGTATTATTTAGTCTGTCTAGTTGTATTATTTAGTATATCTAGTTGTATTATTTAGTCTGTCTAGTTGTATTATTTAGTCTGTCTATTTACCTGACCTTCTTTAAGTCAGTCATTCTTTCATTTTGTGTCAGTCAGTACTTTGCAAGTGTACTTTCATGACTTCTAAACTTATGAGACATATCCAATGTTAAAAAATAATGAAAGAATGTAGTTAAATGTAGTTTTAAATTACATAATTCTCCTTGTTACAGGCTGGTCTACATCACAGATCTGCATGAAAAAGATCAGCCAGAGGGGAGGAGTACGTTACAACGAGGAATACCAGGTTCCCTAGAGATGCCCAAGTCCATCCAGCATAATAACTACAGGAACACAGGAAACAGACATGGGCAAGCTAAGGCAAGGGTTGACATAGAAGCCTCCAGAACATCATCATTTGAATCTAAAGTTGGAGCACAATCAACAGTCTTTGTCCGCTCATCTACTGTACCACAAACTCAAGCTGATGACTACGGCAGAGATGACCATGAAAACAGACACCAGTTTCAAGATGAACATAGTGGTGATTTTCATGATAGTAGCAGCAGTAAAAAATTTAATGTATCTTCACCACCAACAACTAAAAAGGTTCAAGGTGAGTCAAACATGCAGCAAACTGTTCCCGAAACAAAACCTAATTATCATTCTGTTTTAAGCAGGACTCAGAAGAAATTTGAAGAAAATAAAGTCACGATAAACACTGGCTCCACTGACTTCAGGAGCATCTTAAAACACAGAGAAAAATCTCCATCACGACAGACAGCTAAATCTTTTGAACAGACTGTGGATTTAGAGAAATCTTCCTTGCCAGATAATTTTAAACAGCCAAACGAACAGACAACTAAAAAGGAAATTTCAAAAGTTTATAAATTGGTGAATATGCCAGCTGACCAAACAACTAACACAACTGTTTCTCAAAAAGCAGAACTGGCATCTTTATCTCACTCCAAATCAACAGCATTATCATCAAAAGAAATGTCCATTCACAACAAACCACAAAGAAATAGATCTGCCAAACAAAGTAATACAACTACCAGGTATGGAGAAATAATTTCAGTTCCAAATAAGTCTGCTAAATATTTGGATTCATCTTCAGTAGCTAACAATGCACCATCTTCAATGGCCAGGCATGCTGAAGGTACTAGTGATGCACAGCCCAGAGGTGTGGCATCTCCCTGTTTCATAGATGATAAATTATTAGACAACAATGAAGAAGAAGACAAAATTGGTTCTGTTGATTCTCCAAGCTGTGAACAGTTGTATGTAAGTGAAATACAAATCAAGAACACAAGGACAGATGCTGGACAAGATCCTGTCACCAACAGACCTCCACATGCAGAGCACAATTTTAAAGTGTCATCAAGTGCTACACCTTCACCAGCCAATCAGCATCATGCTAGACCAAGAGGTTCCTTTAGTGGTACAATCAGTACAGAAGCTGAGGCTCAACAAGAGTCTTCTCCACCTTATAAAGTCTCCATTGTCCATATTAGTCCACAAGTGCCAGCTTCATCTTCCAGATCTGATGACTTCAAGCTGGAAGTGACATCTGTTTCCATGTCTTTGCCCTTACGATCATCATTATCATCTTCCCCACGATCACACTCCAGCTCAAATTCTGTGACTGCACCAGTTGGTTTTCCTGGCCAGACACCTAGTGATGGTTCGCATGACAGAAATGAAGATGCAGATGATGTGTTTCATGATGTTAATGAAGAAAGAAATTCAGCAGAAACTGGGCAGTATGCCAACTCTAGTAACCACAAGACTATGTCACAGTCTTTTGGACCTACATTCACATGGGAGAAAGCACCATGGGATATGCAGAAGGCTGTGCAAGGTGACTCCACATTTGACAGTATGAATATGAAAGAATTTGAAAGCAAGGATTCTTCTTTGTTAGAAAATACGAAAGTTAGTGACAGTCATCATCAATGGGAGAAAAGCGTCATATCTACTCATTTTGTTAACAGTAAGATTAGATCTGCCTCCGACTGTGATATCCTTCCATCCTATATGACATCTCAGAGGTCATTTCAAACAGTTAACAATACGGCTAATGATTTCCGAACTGTCAAACTGAAACCTGCTGCTAGCAAGGTAAAGTCTGACTTAATCAGAAGTAAATTCATATCTGCATCAACTGAGTGTGTCTTTGCAGACGTCAAGCTGAAATCAGTATCAAAAATGAATGACAGGTGGCGAAAATCTCAAGTCTCTTTAAATACAGATAGATTTCAGGATGCACCTCAGAGTAGACATTCACTTCCTAGGTCAAGGCAAGATCTTTCTCAGCAGACGCTCAAGACATCTAACCAAACAATAAAGACAACGGTAAAGCTGTCAGAGAATCTTAGTGCTCCTGTAGACAATGCAAAGTCTCCAAACCAGAATGAAAATGTGAAATCTGTAAATAAAAGCAAGATTAAAACAGTTGCTGAAAAATATGAAAAATCACCTCCCGTAACTGCACAAAGAACAAAATCTAAAGGAATAGGGGCAAAATTTGAAGCATCTATTAACGATTCTCAAATTGGCAACAAGAACACTTTAAGTAATTTGCCTAATTCGGTCAAGAAGAAAATGTCTGAAACAAGAACATCAAAATCAGCAGCTTTTGGCGACGTGAAGTCTGGAAAAGTATTTGAGAAAATACAGCATTGGAAGGTAGCAGAGATAAAGTTGTCTGAGAACAGTGACAAGAAAATGCTGGGATCTTTGGGCAAAAGTAATTCACATGGTAATGTTCTGGAGAGGGGTAAGGATACAGATACAATTCTAGAGAGTAGTGCAACACATAAAAGACATTCGCTTCAAACTGATGTAATTCCCAATTCACAAATTATTACTGATGTAAAATCAGGATTTGCTGCATCAGTTAAAGATGTTTCTAGAACATCACAAATGTTTGAAAGAGCAAAAATTAATGTGGATATGGAAGCTTTCAGTGAAACTTCACATAGACAAATATTTGATCAAAATGTGATAGGCATTCAGACAGTGAATCCAGAAAACGTATCAGGCAACAGTCTGCAACAGACAGATTTTGAAAATAATGGGAAAGATGGTATTATAGGTGAACAAAATTTAAAACCAACAGCTAATCGAAAATTTAAAACAGAAATTTCTGAAAACAAACAAATAAATGTCAATAAAGCTGAATTATCTTCTAGAAGTAAAGGAGAAAGTCCAAAGTCTGCCCAAAGCAAGCGAGATGCAAAACCAGAATTAATAACTAGAAAACCACTAAATGTTTTTGAGACTAAAGTCAGAGCAAACATTGCTGATAAGAACCAGCAAACTAAAACAAAATCTGAATGGCTGAGTTCAAGATCTTCCAGACAGTATCAACAAATGGAATCAACGAAAGAAAACAAGCAGAAGGCTGAGTTTAAAACCAGCCCTGGCCTTAGAAATACAAGAAAGGATGAACAAAATAGTTTTGAGCATGTCACAAGTAAAAAATCTGGTGCTGATACTGTGGAATTGCAGAAGGCAAATATTGCCAGTTTGGATTCCAAACAGATTGTTGCTAGTGTTGAACTGATTGATGGAGACAATGCAGAAATAGCATCAATAGTATCAGTAGTAGCAGATGAAGCCTCATCTAAAAAGAGTCACTCTCATGTACCTGCAGATACACCCTGTTCAATCCCCATCACAAAAGATGCAGTCTTTCCAACAACATTCAGAAGATTAAGTGCCACAACAGGTCTGCTGGAAGAAACAAGAGTCTCAGAAGCATCGGCTGATCCAAACCCTATCTGTACTACAGCAACTGCAAGAAAGGATTCTCCAGTAGACCAAAGTAAGCACATGCAGGCAATAAATGAACCTACCGCAGAGGACCACCTTTCTCACATAAGAAATTTCAAATCCTCTTGGGTGAGACAGAAGCAACAGAAATTAATTCCAGCCCACCAGCCTCATGATATGGGTTTGATTCCCTACCAAGAACAGCTAAGATCATCCATGGATGACTCTGAATCAGTTTTATCCACAACTTCTATCTCATCGTCATCTTCAGATGCCTCTACAGTGACTGTTGACTCTGGGTATCCCAGATATAGCTCAAGAAAGTATTTAGACAATGACAGAATTGAGCATCAGTATAAGGATTCACATCCTGGGAAGACAACTTCTGCAACTGTGTCCCATCCAGGAAAACTTGACAAGGAAGTCAAAAACACAGCAGACTTATTCCAGAAAAAGAAGAGTTTTTTTGAACAGGTTAATAATAAAAATAATACTGCGGGTCAATTTAAGTTGGGTGACGGTGACCGAAATATACAAATTTTAGCCAGTAACCTAAAGCACACAACAGGAGTGAGAGAAACACGTGAAACTACAGTAGCAGCACCTGAAGGAATATCAGGGCTAGGAGCAGGCGAAGGACCACAATTCACGTCTGATATTATTGCTTCAATTGGTCTTGATCAGGCCAGTAGCCAGAGGAGACAATTTGTGAATGAAGTGACAATAGTTCAGAAAATCTTTAAGGAAGACGGTAAAAACACAGACCAAATAACTGAGGTTCAAGACACTGAAGATGTTGCCGATCTGACCAATGACTTTGGGACAACAAGAAAATACTCTAAAAAGCGACGTAAGCAAATACACATAGATGTAAACGGTACTGTTGTCATAACTAGTCCGGATGCTGAAAATCCTACTTCCAGATCTGCTGAAGGAGTCAAAACCCATGAAACTGTTGAAATGATTATAGCTGAATCAAATATAACTTTCAAACCTGAAGAAGCAACAGATAAAACAAAGACAAATGTTGATTCTGAAGGAACAAACCATAAGTCAAATTTAACTAGAAGATGGAGAGTACGAGAAAATCTAAATGAAGATAAGGACAGAAAACAAAAAACAAAACCTGATAACAGTTCCCTAATTACTCGCCCAGCTGATCTTGATCTAACTGCCAGATGGAGGCAAAGAAAGCCAAACTTTAAAACTGACACTGAGGACAAGGATGTTAAAATTACCTCTGAAATCCAGGAGGAGGTAAATAAATCAATGGCAGCTCCTCCGAGAGGTACCTCTGTAACCTCTACCAGTGTTACACCATCGGTAGACCCACAACATCACCAGTGCCCGCCAAGTTTTCCAATACCACTGCGAGATACAAAAGTTATCCTGGGGTCCACCGCTGTGCTTTTTTGTCAAGTAATCGGAGATCCTCAGCCTGAAGTGAAATGGCTTTTAAATTATAACCAACTGGAGGTAAGTTTTTATTTTAATCTTATTGTCCTATTATCTTTTTTATTTTTATAATTAACCCAGGGTTTCCATTTGACCCAGTCTAAACTGAGTACTAGAAAGTATCCTGGCAAGTGAAAATACCGGGTGTGATGTTGACAAAATCACCTATCAAGTTTAAGTTCCCTGTAGAAATATGGACCCAGCACCTGACTCTAAATGTATTTTAAAATAAATGAATTAGCAAGTATGTTTCCTAAGGCAAACTGGCCACCAGTTCGAATCAAGTTGCAAATAAGCAATAATTCTTTCACTACCTTTCACTTTAGAAAGTGACCTTTTTGTAAGTGAAAAATTTTTTTTTTTAAATAAACACAATACATACCTATAAATCTCTACACTCAGCCCTAAGAAACTAGAAAAATAGAAGGAGAAATGTAGTCTTGGTAAGTTTTTATAACTATTCAGAGGGCGAACCCCTACACAATCAAAAGACAGACAGGCGTTAGTCCTCTGCTTCTTCGATGATGTCATCTCTCTCTCTCTCTCTTTCTCTCTCTCTCTTTCTCTCTCTCTCTTTCTCTCTCTCCCTCCCTCTCTCTCTCCCTCTCTCTCTCTCCCTCTCTCTCTCTCTCTCTCTCTCTCTCTCTCTCTCTCTCTCTCTCTCTCTCTCTCTCTCTCTCGCATACACAAAATGTACAAAATAAAAAAGGGAAGTAATCATGAAATACAAACATAGCAAAGAATTAATTAATTTCCTCCACTTTGAACATTTAAAAGTGGTTTTTGTCACTTTACCACAGAGAGCAGTGTGCTGTTATGATGTTATATTACTCACAGTGAATAATTCACAAAGTCTAAAAATCAGTTTCTTCATCCCTAATAAAATAAGAATTTTTGTTGTTGCTGTAAATATGGTCATACACACCTTGTCTACACATCGTACGGTTGCAGCCACTACCAATTAATTAATTCTATCCAATTTCTTCCTTTTTAGGACGAAATTTTTTGTCATTTGAAGCCCTACTCTGGCTTTTGCCAGGGGCCGCAATATAGGCAGGCCATATATATGGCCAAATGTCTGAACGCGGTTTCTGGGACCTCTCCACGGCGATCCTTATCCACATGGTGGCACTTTGTGTCATCTGGTGTTTATCGCTTGTGTGATGTCCTGGTGGGGTAGAAATTCAGTTCAGTTCAGTTCAGCCACTACCAAATGTTAACACATACTCCTCATCCCCTTGTGGGATGCAGTTTTTCTTTATTTGAAACCCCACATCACCAGGGGCCCTTAATATAACTGGGCCATAAATATCGCCTAATAGTTGAAAAGGGTTTCTGGAACCTATCCACGGGTGATCCTATCCGCATGGTGGCACTTTGTGTCACCGCATGTTTATCGCTTGTATGATGTCCTAGTGGGGTACAACAAAAAAGAGAGAGTCAGTACCAAAGACATCATAGCCATACCAGATACTGTCCAAAGACTGTGTTAACCAGAACTCGTAAAATAAGAAAGACAGCTTTCTTGGAGCATGAGATTTAAAATTAATAAGCAATGACAAGTCAGCTGAATGACATATGGATATAATAATGATTTAAAATATATATGTATATATTTGATTTAGGGATATACCTTCAGGTTGTTTAAAGAGATACACAATTTGCTGAAATAAAAATATTATTATTGAGCAGTAAATAAGGCCTGGAACACCCCCCCCCCCCTTCCTCCCATTGAGGCCCCAACACTCGAAAATTATAAGGCAGCTGAATTCCTTTCCTCTCTCCTGCCACCTTTCAATGGGTGCCTCTTGTTCATTGTGTAATTTGTTCTTCATTGTTGCAATTTGTTCTTTGTTGTTGATAAAGACTGTTTGAAATAGGTTGTATTTGTGTGTGTCACTTCCTTTCCAACCTTTGCTTTGCGTTTAGTTACTACAAAAATTTTTTTTGAGGGAACCCTTCTTTGAAGAAATTTCTCTAAGGAACCAATTTTTTGGAGAGTTGTGTTCCCGGGAGGCCAGCAATATCTATGTCAAACCACTCTAGTTAGTCATCATTACGGGCGTTTTTCTCAAATCATTTGGTTATTAAAATCACAGGAAAGCCCCAGACACAAATCCTTCCCTTCCAGGTTGCAAGCCGAGGCCTGAACCTGTCTTATTTATTTCCTGGTACCTTGGCTTTTTATATTCAAATTATGTCCTAGATCCAAGCATTCAGGCAGCGACAGATCAGCAGCTTATTGATTGGGGACTTCCCAGCTTATGGTGGGTGGTAGATGATCAGTACAAGAAAAGGACCCTTTTCTACGTCTTTAGGCTTATTGGACATACAGGGTTAGACCTATACTTTATAGACCAATCGACACTGGGTAGGAGATATGGTCAACATCACGCCGGCCGCCTTTGCTTTCCAGTGCTGTACCTGGTACCCACTCAAGTTAGGAATTCTGTAAATGCAGTGGGCGCATTGGGCATATGGTGGCTGAGCCATATGTTTATAGATCAGTCCGCACTAAATATGTGTTGCGGTCAAGATACCCTCTCTGCCACGTCTACTTGCCATGACATTTCCTGGTACCCAGTTTTTAGCTGGATCACCCTGAGACCTAGAACTGAATCCATAACATATTCGACAGGCTGTTGTCTAGTCAGATGGTTCCGAGTTGTTGTTTCGCTGTCCCCAGGGTTCGTAATAATATTCTTATAAGTACTACAACGTTTTACCGGAGGTGCTCATGCGGATAAATAATTAGAAGAAATAACCACGAATGTCATACTTTTAAAAACGCTAAATATGTGAGAAGCCAGATTCCTTAAGTATGCAGTGACCAATACTGAAAAGGACTAGAACATAGTACATGTTGGGTGGGTTTAACAGAATTGCTTATCACACATTACACGTTGTTTAGGACTGAAAAAGTTGGTTGCGATTATAATATAGATGTACTTTTATGTAATTTTTTTTTAAAATTATGTCTATTCAAAAGTATTCCGTGGTAGACCTTCGAAAATAAGAGGCGCGGTAAATCTTATCTAACTGGGACTAGTCTTGTCGTTGCGCTATCGTCTCCCTCCTCGCCAGTTAACAATCCTCTACCCAAGCTAGAAAGAGTGTTATTTCGTGTATCTGTATTGATGCCCCCATGTAACTATTTTTTTTAATAGCTGAAAGCTATGTTATATCGGCTTCCTAAAAGTTACTCTTTGAGGTACTTGATGTCAGAATTTTAGATTACATGAACATTCCTGCTGACCATTTCAGCTACAGATGTTCCTCTATGCCATTTTGCCAATATATTTTCTCTACTGGTTTACCCCTGCTTCTCTTAGCCGTCAACAACATACTTCAGTTCTCTGCTTGTCGTGTCCAAAATGTGGATTGCCTCAACTGATGCCAGCAAGCAGGTCTCTTTGTGGGATCAATATTTTCAGTATATTTTTACTCTACAACCACCATCCCCCCCCCCCTAGTTACCACCACCACCATTACCGTCACAATCACCACCACTATCACCACACCAGGATTTGGATACAGACCGGAACTAATTTCTCGAAAATCTCTAGCACTTATTTAGGTCTAGATAGGTTAAAAATAAAATAAAAACCCAATCAGGCTTTTGAAAATCTAAAAATAAAGGTCTCTGCTTTCAGCGAACGTTGGCGGGCTAACTTTTTCTTATCGTCTGCGCCTGTTTGCAGGCGTCACGGCTTCTGGATATTGTAACAGTGTGTGTCATTACGGCAAGTTTCTGATGTCATGTGTGCAGTAAGAAACGCCGCTGCTAATTGTTAGTTACTTGCGGATTCTATGGATATACACTAACTACTAAACTAAGCTGGGTTATACCGAACATTTATGCACTGACTGTTTGAGTTTCGTGTGTTATATATAATAAAGACAACTGCGATTGGTTCCTTTTTATATACAGCATATAACATCTAGATGTAAGTGTCACACGTGTTTTATAGAACGTAAAAACGCTTGTTGCTAGACTAGACTGTAATGTTTAGAAAGTTTATTACTGTCTGTATCTCCTCTGTTGTATAGAAAATTTATTTGCAAACTGTCACTTGTGTTATGTAGAACATTTATCTTCTGACTGTTAGTGTCTTCTGTGTCATATAGACGATTTACATGCTAACTGCTAGTGTCCCATGTGTTACATAGAACATTTATCTTCTGATTGTTATTTTCTCGTGTGTTACATAGAACATTTGACTGCTAGCTGCTATTGTCCCATGTGTTACATAGAACATTTATCTTCTGATTGTTATTTTCTCGTGTGTTACATAGAACATTTGACTGCTAGCTGCTATTGTCCCATGTGTTACATGGAACATTTATTCGTTAACTGCTACCGTCACCAACATTCATCGTCTTTTTGTTAGTGTCTTCTATGTTATATACAACATCTATCCGCTGTTTGTTAGTGTCTCCTATGCTATATAGAACATTTATCATCTGTTTTTAGTGTCTCCTATGTTATATAGAACCTTTATCCTTTGTTTGTTAGTGCCTCCTATGTCATAGAGTATTTATTCGCTGTTTGTTAGTGTCTTCTATGTTATATAGATCATTTATCCTCTGTTTGTTAGTGTATGCTATGTTATATAGAACATTTATCCTATTTTATATAGAACATTTATCCTTGTGTTTGGTTAGTGTTATATCATATGTTAGTTTTATCCTTGGTTTGTTAGTATCTCCTATGTTCCATATGTTAGTGCCATCCTATGGAAAGAACATTTATCCTTAGTGTTTGTTTTAGTGTTTTTAGTATCTCCTATGTTATATAGAACATTTATCCTCTGTTAGTGTCTCATATGTTAAATAGAAAATTTATCCTCTGTTTGTTAGTGTCTCATATGTTATATAGAACATTTATCCTTGGTTTGTTAGTATCTCCTATGTTATATAGAACATTTATCCTTGGTTTGTTAGTGTCTCCTATGTTATATAGAACATTTATCCTCTGTTTGTTAATGTCTCCTATGTTATATGGAACATTTATCCTTGGT